CTCGTGTTAGTCTTCATCATTTAACAACACATTCTCAATGTTAAGATTAGTGCAAAGTTGGAAAAGCCATACTGATTCCAGAAGGTTACAGTGTAACAGGCGTCTTTACTGTTTGATCTCATAATCTTCACTGATCTCACTGAACATCGGTAAAAGAAGGTCAGTGAAGATTCGTATCAAAGGATTGATATCAAAGAACGGGCAAAACTCAATCCTAAGCTTCCAGAAGATATAATCATATGGAATTGTCTCTCATCGTCTTAGGTTGCACAGTGTGTTGATTAGTCTGTGCGATATTGTGATCTTTCCTTAAGACCCTGGTGAAAAACTATAACGAGTGAGACTCGATTTCTGAAAAAAAAGTTTCTTCATTCTCTCAAGTTTTAAAACCCTATTTGACTATTCAATTATAAAAAAGCGCCGAGCCCAGTTAATGTAATAGATGACCAAAAGAAATGATGGCTTAACGTAAACCAAATGAAGAATAAAATGGGTAACTTTTGTGTTAAGAAGAAAGTTAAAAAATTAAATAGTTACAATTTATTTGGCATTTTAATTGAGTGCTGTCAGTCAATTAGAATGCCCATCAATGAAAGCTGAATTCTAAGTGCCATTATCATATTAAATAAACGTTTTTTTTACTCCAGGAACGTAATAATCACTTGACCATGACCAGCGTTGTTGTAACAACATTCATTGTCCTGGTTGTTTCCATTGTTGTAAGAGCCTCCCCCACCCCCACAGCTACCATAAATATCATTTCCGCTGCCTCCGCCAGAGTATCCTCCTCCTCCTCCTCCACCTCCTCCTCCTAGCAGTCCATTAAATCCAGCACCTCCACCACCTCCACCAAACCCACCATCGACATTGTCAAACCTGGCTATTCCACCCACCCCTCCCTGGATAAATCCCTTACCACCTTCTCCACCCTGTCCTTTGGTTCCATTAAAATCCGTTCCACTTCTTCCACTGGAGTAAAACCCGCCACCACCACCACCTGAAATACAATGAATATATTTTAAGATTTTCGTAAACAGAAGCGGAACTATATTTAAATGGGATGCTAACCCATTCGATTTTTAGAATTTTTTGCGAGCATTGTAAAACGCTTCAGTAAACCAATATCAGTTAGGCCAAACCTTAGGTAATGCATTTTAATTGAGCCGCTATCCATGAGGTCTAATATTTGTATATAGCATCTGTAATACCTAGTTCTATAAACTTCCCCTGTCCAAGATACTATGAGTTGATTTAACGCGTTACCTAATGCTAAATTGCAGGTTTATGCCTGATGATAGTTTGACCCGTAGGGCCCCACGCGCGTAAACCTATTAAAAACCGTCAAAGTGAAAGCTGACGTGTGTAAGGTCGGAGGAGTTAATGAACGGTGAGTTTCTTGTTCTGACACGAAAAAACAAAGGAAATTTTTTTCCTCTAGGATCTTTGTTGTGATT